CAGGGGAGAGGGCCACCTCACAGCCCCCTGCTCTCCGGGGGGCAGAGCGAGAGCTGCACCCGCCAGGCCCCGCGCCGAAGCAGCAGCAGTTAGCAGGGTTAGGCTGTGTTAGTGACAGGTGGAGTAAAGCAGAAGGCTGAAGTGGAGGCACTAGTATTAAAGGCAAGGCCTTTGGTGAACACCTTCCAAGGTCGTTCAGCCACTTCTACAACTCAGAGAGCAGGAAGCAGCCTGGAGGCAGGCGGCCCAGGCGCCTGGATCTCCCGCATCTCCCTCCCTACAGACCCGGGGTGGCCAAGAGGGTACAGCATGGGCTTGGGTTTAGGATCTCTACCCTAAAAGCTCTCAGGACATAACTCTGCAGGTGTAGTGAATGTTTTATCCAGCACAGAGCTTCCACCAGGCCACCGACCAACCTGCACTGTCCTCTTTAACAGGGCAGAAAAATTAAGGATTTGGCATCACTTAAGGGAAAAAAAAATCCACTCAAGCCACAGTTCCATGTCTAAGGAGAGACAAGGCAGCTTTTGAAGAGAATATTCTCATTAAGAGAATAATCTCCCTTCTCTGAACTACTCTCCACAATGCCCTTCAAAACCTACTCATCATTTCAGACTGCCTGTAAGGTTTATATTTGCCCTTAAAATGATATCCAACTAATCACATATTTTCCTTTCAATAAAAGTAGTCCACTTACTAGACAGTTTTTTTTTCATTATAAATGCCTTCCTGATGTTTTAAGATGCAATTATAATTCCTTGATAGAATATCTTTTAATTCAAGCACTACAAGGACTTCAAAAATTGTCTCCTTTTTTTTTTAAAAAAAAAAAAAAGCCTCAGAGTTCCTGCAGTTCTGGCCAGCTCCATATGAAGGAAATCACCAACACTACTAAAACCTTTATCTCTTGATGTAACCTTTGGTCTGAAGTTTTATCTATGAAATGAATTAAAAGCCCTGGAAATAGCACTTTGTCAGAACAGCTGAATTTCTCATTTCTCACTTCTCAAATGGCTTGGCCAACTCCCACCTACCTACATACTCAAACCCAAGGAGTCAATCCAATGCCCCTTGTTGGGTTTAGCTCATCCACCAAACTGCCAACTCTCAGTTCTCATGGCTTAAAATGACATCACTAGATCCACTGTGTATGACAATTAGCAGAAGGTGCCACACTAGCTGTAATTAACTCAAGATAAATTGGCTTTTCCTGACCTATCTCCGAAGTCACGTGCCATACCTCAGTTTAAGGATTTAAAATCTTTTCAAGGCATTTCCAAAAATCACATGTGCCACCAACAGTGCTGCCCAGCTCACTGTCAGCTCTTTTTCCAGGGGAAATTGCTACTGGGAAGTACTTGTGGAATGTGCTTCAGTGACTTCTAGGGTAAAGCAGAGAAAACACCAAACACGTCCCTGGGCAAAACCCAGCCCCTGCTTCTAGTTTTCAACCTGCCACCTCTAACCTGCTGACCTGCAGCTTTCAGTGACCTACAGCACCCACCACACCCCAGAGAAACGAGCCGTAAGCCATTAAAAGACAGGAAAGAGACTCAGTGAATACAAAGCAAAAGCAAAAAAAGCAACCAAGCACATGTGCACGGAGAAGGAGAGTGCAGCATGCAAACCCCCAGTGCCACCCCCGAGCCCTGACAAGGTGCAGTGACCCCAGAACTCAGCCAGCAGCCTGTGAGCCCCGTCAGGAGCAGGCACCCAGCTGAGTCACAGCTCCCCCAGCAAAGCAAAGTTCACAAGTTGTTTTAGCTGCCACCACAAGCAAGAGGATCAGAAGAATGTCATTTCAGACTGGTTAGTTATCATGGAAGTCTTATACTACTGAATAAAAATAGTAATAAAATACTATTCAAATTTAAAGGGAATACAGTCAACTTAAAACATACAGAAAATTGGCTAAACTAGTACAAAACATTTGAGATATCCTTATTTCTATTTGATGTCATTTTATGCATGGCAAACCATCACAGTCAACTTCCCTCTGTATTTGTATGAATCATTCACATTATAAGAGCTGTAAAAAAAAAAATAAAATCTAAGAATATACAAGTTTAACACAAACTGAGCTTGGCATAGGACAGAAACAATACCAAAGAAAACCTCTAGCTTTGCCTCCCATTAAAATCCCAAAAGACTCCAGTCCTTCCCCACAACCATGCTCCCCCTTCTCCATCCACCTCCCAGCAGAGATTTTACCAATATTAGAAATCCAAATATTTCCACCCATAGATTACAACAGGACCAATTCAATTAACTTACATTCAGTTTTAAGCAAGGAATATTGTAAGAATCCTGCAGAGCTACACCCACATTAATTTTTTTCCCCTAAGCAGATCAACAACTCTTGCTTCGAATCAATGACAGCCATGTTGAGAATCTCTACAGACTGGCTCCTTCAGAACTTAAAACTAAACTCACCATTAGCTTATCAGTGACATAATCATCATAGACAGCATTGAAGAGAATCATCTTGGAATACAACTTGTTACTTACCAGATTAAATCCCCTGTACAGCCTCTTGCCTGTACTGAAGCCCCTCACATGGGATATGCATCTCCAGGCCATATACAGCAATCCCTGATGAGCTGTAAATAACATCATCCCACTGCTGCTCCAGCCTTGGTGAACAGGAGCAGTATTTCACACCATAAACCCACCTCAACAGGAGGATGATCACCCTGAGAAGGCATTCCCTATTCTGTCACTATCTACTTCATTTTGGAAACAGGACTCTATATAGTTAAGAAACAGTCTTGAGACCAAAAAGCAAGAAGAACATCAAACTTTCAGCTGTCAAATGGGAGCAGTTTCCAGCTTCCTGAACACACAGAACACAAAGTGCACTTTGCAACTCCTCAGAACTGCAGTGGGTTTGGATATACTATATCCCTGGATGGATATAACACACCTTCAATTAAGCATGCTAATATTAATTACAAAGTCAGTAAGTCAGTACTTCCATAGTGACACTGCAGGAGGAACACAGGCCTCAGCAAACCTGTGGGTACCAAGAAATTAGAAATTAGGGTGGTGAAACACTGGAACAGGTTGCCCAGAGAGGTGGTGGAGGCCCCATCCCTGGAGACATTCAAGGTCAGGCTTGATGGGGCTCTGGGCAACTTGGTCTAGTTGGGGATGTCCCTGCTCAGTGAAGGGGGGTTGGACTACATGAGCTTTAGAGGTTCCTTCCAACCCAAAGCATTCTATGATTCTATTAAATTCAGAGCCCAGAAGGACCCAACAAGGTCTGCAGCTGGAAAACATCTAAAAAGTCTCTAAAAAATCATGCATAGATAACAATTTCCATGAACCTTCCACAGCAGGAAGAAGGTAGAACCCCAGAAGCTAGATCCTCTCATTATCTTCCTTGTGCTTGCTGTCATTAGCTACCAGCAAAGCTGGAACTTTGGTGCCTTTCCTTGGGTACATGGCACACACAACAAGGCTCATAACCACAAACCCTGCTCCTCTCCTAGCCCCGAGCTCATGATCAGACAGCACACGTTACTCACAGTGGGGAACCACTCACAAACTGTAAGAACTATGGTATGACAAAGTTTTATCTGCAATAGAAAAGGATTTGGCTTATTTTTCTTAAAATCTAACCAACTCAGAGCAGCAAAAGCATTTAATTCAAAAGCATTACAAGCATTTGTGAAAGTAATGGAGCAATTTAAAGGAAAGAATCACAAGCTCTGCTGGGAGCTAGAAATCAGTGAAGTATCTTAATATGACAATGCAAACAATTTAGATCCTAAAAGTAAACTTTATTTTGCATTGTGGATATTATTGGCTATAATTCACAGCTTGGAGAAAAACCTTCCAAGGCTTGGCAGATAAATGGTTTTGTTCAACTCATTAAGAACATTGTTCAATTCATTAAGAACATTTCTTACAGGCTGCAAAGCCCACTAGCAAATAGGATTTTATTTGCAAGTATCAAGATTTTTAAAATCTAAAATGTCACTAGGATCAAACAATGGCAACAGCTTAAAGACTTTTGCTTTGTTTGATTCAACAATTCTTGATTTCTCTTCTTTGCTTGAAAGAAACAAACAAAAACTTAATCTGCCCAAACCAATATAGGTGTTAAATCAGCAGACAGAAATCTGGCAACTTTTTTCTAGCTCCTAAGCCACTTTTGTGTTAGTTCTGACAAGAGAGAAACAGAGCAGAGATGACTAAACAGCAGAGCACAGCAAGTTTGACAAATTTGGAGAGAGATTATGAGATGAAGACAGGCAGAAAAAAAACAGAAGCAAGGATAAAGTTAAAGCAGGTTGGAAAGGGAGGTGAAAATGGGTCAAAATTGGAATAAAAGTCACCCCTCAAAAGAGTTGTGGAATTGAGATGCTTTCCAGAAGTAACAGTGTTGACACAAGGCCAGTACTGCCAGCACTTGTTTTGCTTCCATCGAATGCTAATAGGTTTGAATTAATATTGATGAATACTAGTAAACTAATAAAAGTTATTAAAATAAACTGTGGTTGAAAGAATAAATCAGGTAGAAGGTGGGCAGTGTCATTTTCTCTGGCAAATGAAGTCCAGTGAAAAAATCTGGCAGCAGTAAATCACCCCAACATGTCGTGGGGCTGAACTGCCACATGCTGTCAGTGTAACAATTTGCATCAGGTCTCAGTTTGAATTTCCTGGGGACAAACATGAGCAGCTCTCACAAAGTACACTCATAAATTTGCTCAAGTGTCCTACACCCAGCCCACTCTGCTGCAGAAAAGTAATAATTTGGAAGAGACACAGAGTTTGATTTTTCACATCAGTCCAAGCACACAGTGAAAGAAGGATCCCCCTGTGCTCACGCTCCAGCAGGGAAGCAGAACCTGAACATTTCAGAGCAATCTGGACTGAGATCCTTGGCACTGAAGGACCTGCAAACCCACTGCTTTCAGAGAATTCCACCAGGACACAGCCAAGAAGCCAGGAGGGATGCTTCACATTTGCCAGAAACCTGAAGTGCAAGAGGATTGTGAACGGACAGCCTACTCCATGCAGTTATTTTCTACAAACTCAAAGAGCAAGGAATTTAAATCCACTTAAAGGAGAACAACGCCCAGAAACAAAATCATGTGAGCAATTCTAGGGATGCTAATAAAGAGAAATGGATTTGCCTTCTTGCACACTGGTCATTTCACATGCAGCCAAATCAAGAACTCACCTCATCATACTGCGAGTAAAAGAAGCTGTGAGTTTAAAAATAAACAAAAAAACCACCCACAACCAAACCCAGAACCTCTTTTCTTGTGAAGCACGTGACAGCAAAGATCTCTAACTTCCATTTCAAAGAATAAATTACTTTTAAAGGATACGGTCTGTGCCAGGGAACAACGTTCTTCCAGTCAACAGTTCAGCCATAATGCAGCCCACCGACCAAATATCAACTGAATAAAATAAAATACAAAACAGTGTAACACAGAAAACTACAGCCTCAATAGAATCACCCTACCCAACAAGCAGCAACAATTTGCCCTTAAACAGTTCTCTGACGTTGGAACAGCCTGAGATATGTTGCAAGTTGATACTGCTCACTGACTGTGTCATCTCAGACTTGTCCAGGTAACAGAATTCCAGATGAGGCAGATTTCCCTTCCAGCATATAAGGTGCATTAACACCAGAGCTGGGGAGGAATCTGCACCTTCAGAGAGGGAGAAACCTGCTCCAGACAATTCTGGGGAGTTGTCTATGGCCTTGCATAAATTCTACCCACACAACCATCAACCATCACAGTACAGATACAGGACAAGTCCATGCACAGGCTAGAGGAAAAAAGAAAAGTGTTGAAGTAAGAAATCAGAGCAGCACATTATCTCCTCTGAGCCGTATGCTCTCCTGTACAAGAACTGTTCTCAGAATCTGCTTTTCCCCTCTGTGTATGATCTGTAAGGGTTATAGGGAAGGTTGGTGTGTTGCTGAGAAGATACTGGGAACTGGGAGGAAGATGTAACTGTGAAGAAGTGGCTAAGAAGAGAAAATCAGGGAGATTTGTATACATTTTAGCATTTCTTCATACCATAACTCCAGACATTTTTCAGTGTGTTCCCAGCAGCTTTCTAGAAACACACCTTCTCCACATCCAGGAACCTCTCACTCACTTGAAAAACCACTATGCCAGGAGAAGTGAGGGGTGAGTGCTGAATGCATTTTGCTGATTGCAATTTCAAAGGTTTGAGTTTGAAGAAGTCTTGTGAACAGTACCACAATGATTCTTAACTGATCTGTGGTGGCCTGTTCCTTCAAATACTAACCCTGGGCTTTCCTTCTTCTAATTGACCTTAATAAAGTGTAATTACCACGACAGCCAGGTTATGGGATGAAATGAGGAGCATGTGCAAAGGACAACCTCTTCTGCCTATCAGTGAGGAAGTGAAAAGCCTTGTGGCAGTTCACTGTGTCACCTGTCTGGTTGTAGTGCATCCAGTTCAGCATGATCTCAGGAGCCCTGTACCAGCGGGTAGCCACGTAGCCAGTCATCTCATCGTCCGTGTGCCGGGCCAAGCCAAAGTCCAGGATCTACACAACAGAGAAGACACCCACCAGCTCCTGCAGTGGGGCTGTGCACAGTGGCCAGAGCAAGCCACCAGGCAGCTGTTGCATTGGTGGAGACGTGGTGCAACTGCCAAGGCAGATGATGAAACTCAATTTCACAACCTGTTAGGGACACTAGCCTAGGACAGGTAGGACCCAACAGAAATACCTCTGGGTAACTTGTCTCTAAAACAACTAAATCCAAACTAAAGCTGTTAATTCTTTGCTTTCACAATGATTCATTAAAAACACAGGAACAGATAAGGAAAACCAGCCTTTTACAGCTGGGAAGGACATTATTACTTTGGGCCACTGAAGTATTTCCAGAAGGAATTAGTTCCTTGAGCATGCACAAGACATTCACTCGAATCACAACCAGACCCTGTGACTACCTTACCTTCAGCTCACAGTCTTCATTTACAGCTAGGTTACTAGGTTTTAAATCCTAAAAAATTAAACAACATCAGCATTAACAGTGAAATATATGTTGTTTAAAAGCTTAAGGTAGATAAAAACAAATGCAGATGGAAAACAGATTCTAACTGGCTGTAAATATCAACTCTCCATACCCAGGAAAACTATTTGATCCCAGAGTCAGCTTTGTCTTCTGCAGTGTTACACAGAAGCAAAAAAAGCATAAAGGCTTCTGGCAAGAGCAGTGCTGTAGGTGTATATTCAACACAGAGAAGGTATTTCACAAAGACACAAGCCAGACACAGGCAGGAATAGACACTATGGATCTTGACAACCACCTCCCATGTCTAACCAAATAATTCTTGGAAATTTTCTTCTTGTTTCTATAGGTGCTACATTATAAGATTCTGTGCTACGTTTTTTAAAGACATTGGTCGAGTACAGGAAGCAATTTCAGGATAAATTTAGGATTTATCTTAGTATAAATACTCACCCTGTGTATTATGTCAGCTGAATGGATGTACTGTAAAGCAAGATGACAAATTTTACATAACAGTCCAAGCAGCCTCCCTCTCCTTTCTTCCCTAGACAGTGCTGCCCTTCCCCATCCCACACAACTCAAATGCTCGTCTGCAGGAGGAACTGAGTGTGTGTCTGTGGGTTTTGAGCAGGGAGTTCTCCTTCAGAACACCCAGGAGCACTGCTGCCATGAGCAGAACGTCACAAGGACACACAGTGGAAGAGATGGAAGAGTCACAGCCAGGGCAGATTAGAGAGCAACACAGATCATAACCTTCCAAAATCTGCCCACAGGAACATATAGAAATAGCTTAATGATATGTAACTTTACTGATACAGAGCTCCAAAGAGGCATGAGGGGAAGGAACAACAACAACAGGTTGTCCTATGATACGTTAGGGAAGTCAGAGAAGCCCCAGTGTGTACTGGTGTGACTCTCTGTGGACATGACATCAACCAAGAAGCTCCAGCTCCCAGTGATGAGCTACCCCCACTGCTCAGGAAGGATGGGTGCAGGTACCTTCAGCCCCCGGAGGATCTGGTAGATGAGGAACTGCACGTGGTCATCGGTGAGCTTCTGGCATTTCACAATGTTGTTCAGATCTGCTCCCATAAGGTGTGTCACCAAGTACCTAGGAACAAAAGGAAACACACTGGCTGTGAAGCAAACCCTTCAACAGGTTTAGGAAGAAAATCCCCTATGAAGCTCCAGTAGCAGGACTGGCTGTCCCAAAGTGCATTGCTGAATGAAATACAGCTCAAGACACTTGAAATAATGCAGCAGATTAGTACATGGATTCAGTGAAACACGAGCTAACAAGTCTATCAGTCTGATAGATTAGGATGTCCTCCTATCTCATGTTGGAATTCTGAATTGTCTGAGGAGGATGGCAGACAAATTGAGGTGATAAATCTTTCTATAATCATCTAGGAGATTCAAGGAAGACACAAAAGCTGTTTTGTTGCAGTCTTCAGAGAAGTTACCTACACATCATTGAATTCTTCTAGTGACTTGGCAGGGGTGAACACATCCAACAAGCCAATCACCTGGAAAGAGAACAGTAAAGTCAAAAAGCTGTGAAATATATTCTTAGTATAATATGATACAGTTTCTAAGATGCTTTGAAACTACTTGTTCCAGTAGATGTTTCATTTCCAACTAAAAATCATTCAGATGTAGACAAATGAGTGTTTGTACAAGATCAGAAAGAAATGTTCAATTCTTATGTAAAAGAGTATTAATAGTTAAGGTTAAAAATACACAGCTGTCTTTTCACACCAGCCAACCACTTACAGCACCCAACAGGAGCCAGAGGAAAAGGCTGGTGCAAGGACTGGTTTGGAATAGCTTGGTTCAAAAACCAGCTCAACTTTGTTTAGGAAATAAACAGATGAGAGGAATAAACAAACAAAAAACCCCAACCACCAGACAAAACTGTTGGCTTCCTGCTCAATTCTCAGTTACACTGTTGACTACACACTGAAATCAGAACTGGGAGACTCTATTTGTTTCACTTGTACTGACTAATGGTTAAAAAAAATGCAAAGCTCTGTAACACAAGCAATGAATAACTGACTACACCAGAAAACAAGTCAGAGAACAGTGCAGGGCAGTGAGGACCTGGTCTGCACAAACAGCTGGCAGCTTCAATGTCACTTGTATCTTCTGCCCAAAAAGCAGCTAGCCCCCCTCTCCTTTTACAGCTGAACTGTTCTATCAGTGGAGAGAAAAAGGATATCCATGTGCTACTGTAAGGAAAAGAAGAACTAGACCTTATCTTCTTGATAATTTACTGCATTAAAAAACCCCCCGTCTGGTCAATACATTTATTCTGGTTTTCACTGAAACATGCTCATAGTATTTTATGTTTTTAATACGTAAGAGATAGAGACACAGGTTCTCTTCATCCACCTCCAAATAAACTCCCCTTTTCCAGTCAGCGTCTCCCTTGTCTCAGCCACACAAGCATCACACACGTCTCAGCAACTCCAGCAATGGCTCAAGCATGGAAAAGAAACCCAGAGCTAGATTCCTGTGTCCCAGCCTTTGTATCCCAGCCTTTCTATCTCATTATTTGCACTTGTCAAGGATGTCAGACTGAACTGAGTTACCTTTCAACAGAGAAGTAAAGAAAAAAAATCTTTGAGGAACCTAGAGTATGTTTTTGAAGCGAGCAAGTAGGTAGGAAATAAAAGCCTCTGTCTAATCTATATTATACATTGTAGATTACGTTTTATTGAGGAAACAAGAAAAAAAGCATTTTCCTGCCTCTCTTGATACAGATCACAGCAGCTCCATTTCTGGACAGACATCTTCAAACCCAAACATTCACATCCACCCTGTGCAGTGATTCTTGTGCTCTCAGTTTCTGTCTCCAGTGGACATTTCCAGATCAGTTTTTACAGAAATATTCAACGTTATCCACCCAATTTAGCACAGAAAGACAAACCCTGACTCTTCTATCTAGATTTCAGGCTTTTTCCATCTATCACTCTTATCTTGCCACACTCTAAAGCACAGTATCAAACTACCCCTATCTACCATCAAGTTTCACAAGCCCTTAATGCCGTTAGACTGCAGCGCATCGCTGACTCACTCCTGAGAGGTGTGAACACCAAGAGGCTCAGAACCCAACTCCCAACCTTTTGCTTTCCCATCCCAGCATTTCAGGATGCCACAGAGCTTATTAATTTCTTCTGTGACAACCACCCCACTTGCTCTCCCATCTGCTCAGTGCTAAGGGTGCCTCCTGGAATTGCAAATACAGCACAGACACGCTTGAGTGCTCTGCAGGTGCATTTCTGTGCTCAGGATGGTCGTGGACCAGATGAGATGCAGGATGCAGAAAACCACCCCACGCTCAAGCCCCTCAAACCACTGCACCTCCCAGATGTGCTGCTGTGTTCTGTGCCACGTAAACCCAAGTGTTTTACTTCCGAACCGAGATCTGAGTAGTCAAGACACCGGCACCACCGAGCCTGCTCTGAACATCTCTGCATCTGCAGGATTTGTCAACCACAACCTAGATAAACTCCCCACAGATAGACGATGGGATGATGAACTGATAAAAAAATATGTCTATATATAAACAACTTCCTTTTATCCCCTACTCTTAAAGCTGTACAGCCTCTGCAACACTAGTCCAAAAACGTTAACGGATGGCAGACACGGAGCTGTCGTGGCATCAAGCACAATCTGATCTGCATTCCTTAATCTTATGAGCTTAGTTAAACTGGATCAATATGCTGCTTGGTTTATTGGTTTATTTTGGTAACAGCTGTTCAAAGCTTTCCTGTTTGGAGAATACCTCAGCTGCAAAAAAGGTCCAGGGGATGGGTATTAAGCACGATCAAACGCCACCTCTGCTGTTGAGACAACAGGATTGTACCAGGGCAGTGAGGAAGAATTGTTGACACTGTGCACCAAAACTTCCAGTTGTGTTAGCCCAAATACAAACACCAAGATGATCTGGGGCACACCAAACACTGCTGACTGCAGTGGTCAGAGCCATGACACACAGCCACCACAGTTCTTAACAGACCACTCAAGGAGAACCTTCCAACAACATCACACTTGCCAGGCTTTCTGTGCCAGAGGAAGGTCTGAGGTTTGCTCAGCTCACTTCCACACCAGTCCTGCTCTTCTGCTCAGCTGGACTTTGCTTGGGTAAAAGACATCAAGAGCCCTCCTGACATTCTGACAGCTCTGCAGAGGGCAGGTCATGACATTCTTGCTCTGTTGCATGTGGTACTTCCTCCAAACAGCATGCAAGTAAAGGTGTTGGTGTGTTAATGTCACAGACACACAGAACTGGTCAACTAACCATTTTCTCTACCAAAAGGAGGTGATACAAAAAAAAAAAAACACAAACAACAAACCCAGTTCAAGGTAACATTTGTCACATGCTATTTCATTTCCCTGTTGATTATTTCAGTGGATAGCTTGTATGAAAAGCCATCTGATTTCCACCCCCTCACCACCTCTTTTTTTCCTTCCTATTTTACCTACAGGAACCCAGTGGACTCCACACCCCTGACACAACCCAGAACAAACAGATATGAAAAAACCCTCCAGAAGATACTAAAACCAAAACTTAGAGGTTTTCTTTTTTAAAATAAATTCATAACATAACAAAATCTACAGTTTACTCCAGCAAAGGAGCAGGAGAAGGTAAGTGACATCCTCTCTGTCCTAATTCCTTAAGACAGCCAGAACATGCTAAGCAGTAATTTCCAGATTATTCTATGAAATATAAAGATATTTAATATAAAATTAATTTATGTGGGGTTTTTTTTTGTTTGTTTGTTTTGGGTTTTTTGGGGTTTTTTGTTTTTAATGAGCATGCTTTTCTGCAACTATAATCCCTTGGACTACTGCAAGTTTTGTATTTAGTACTAGAAAATAAACGTATGCAACAAGGTCCTTAAATGCAATCTTGATGGATGCTCACTGGAGGGTCCAACTTCAGAGGAACTTTTCCCACCATCTCCTTCAACTTACGTTTTCATGTTTCATGTGCTTCAGCAGCCGCAGCTCTCGGTAGGTCCTTTTGGCATGGATGATGGACTGAAATGGTCGGGACAGCTTCTTCACGGCCACACGCAAGCCAGTTTTTGTGTCAAAAGCAGAGCTGTAAGAAAGAGCCACCACATCATCACCATGAATTCTTCATAAACACCTTCAAACCCACCCTTAGCGACCCCACACAGCAGCTATCTGGACACTGAGTCACAGCCAATCTCCACCTCTGCAATAAAAATGATTTCTAGGTATCCTGGTCCAAAACCTGCACCCCCACCCAAAATCCCCATTCCACATAAAACATTTAGCAGATGAGTCTTGTTCACAAAATAAAGCCAAATTTTGTAGGGAAGAAAAAGGAGAAATGTTTATGATTTTGCTGTCTGAAAACAGCTGTGCTCTTAAATATAAATACAGCAATAAAAGTCTGGAGGGAGAAGAGTACTTGTAAATATTATCTGTACTCATAAACACATTTTCATACACACACAATCACTAAATGCTATGCTTAAGATACTATTTTTTATGCTTTAAGTCCATACAAGCAACAAAAGACTGTGCCTAATGAAACCAGCTAGGATGGTTGATAGTCACAACTGAAGTTGAAATCAAGCACATTTAATCCTAAGGCCCTGTTATACCAAAATGCATGTGAATAAGTGATATTTAGCTGGGCATGACTAAAACTTGTCCCTTTAGCAGAAATTTGTATATAAAACCTGTACATATAGATCATGTTTCTTCTTAGAACCTGTGAAGACTAACTCCACCCTATTTGGTAGCTTCATATACATATATATCTATTTTCTATTTTGTACTGTAAAATCACCTTTTGAAGCAAGTCCTATTACAACCTATTTATTCTTAATATAAAGAAGCAAAAGCCTGATACTTTTGAAAGAACCAAAAATTCAACACATGAAGAACGTTGTTAAATTTCTGATACACTGCATAAAATCCTCAGGGCTTATATGTGAGGAACTAAAGAAATACAGGTATTTAGCTGTGAACTAAATTACTCCTCTTTCTTGTCTTTGATGTTCTTATCTAAACCAGCTCTGGTTTGTCAAAAAGGAAGGAGGAGAAAGAGGATGTGAAATCGAGGTTACACTTGATTGAAGATAACAAACAAGGGAAAGCAGGGAATGGAAGAAGTCAGAGAAGGGCAATATTTGTTTGTTTGTTTTTTTCCTGCTGCATTTTGATTCAGAGCAACTACATTTCAACGTGAGCATGTACTAGTTCTTGATAAACATCAGGTAAAAAGGAAAGTTAATACCTTTATAAAGGTGAAATGTGAAGCAACTTCACCAGCAAAAAGTTCAAAACTCATCACAGAAGTAGTCCTAAAAGAAACCCACAACTGCACACACAGCCCTCACTCCTCCACCACACCAAGAAGCTCTCTGCAATAAATGCTGTAGTTTATTTTTAAAGCAAGTAACGGGAATTCACTTGTAAAAAGGCTCCTTATCTCAGAGCTGCTCAGTTACCAAGGAACTTGTACAGCAGGTTTACTGGAAACAGAACACAAAATACAAGCTTGTTCTGAGGAACAGCGAGTGATCCTTCCCCTGGTCCTGCAAGGGGATGGGAGAAGAGCATCTCCTCCTCCACAGAGGGGGCACCTGCACCCACAGAACAGAGAGAGCTCTCTGGAAAGACATGGAAATACAGCTGGGCAGGAGATCACCCAGCACTGAACCCCCACATCTGCAGCATGGAGTGGTCTGGGTGGGAAAGGACCATTTAAACTCATCGAGTCCAACCCCCTGCAGGGACATCTGCAGCTGGAGCAGGTTGCTCAGAGCCCTGGCCAACCCAGCCTTGAACACTTCCAGGGAGAGGATGTGCCTCAAGCTCCACCTCGCTGGCTCAGAGAATGCCTCCTGTCAACCACATCCACACGAGTTATCCTTCACACCTCACTCAGCCTGGGCAGTCAAGGAACACTGTTAAGAATTCATTTTTTAATCTTGATTTCCACTCAGCAAGTTCACACACACCACTAGAATATCAATATTTAAGCTGCAACACTTCATTAAACACTATTTTTTTTAAGCTTCACCTACACCATTTGCAATGTACAAACATACCTAACTCAGGCTGTGATTGTGACAATATTTTAATGCTACTCAACATGCTTTCTAGGACGTAGAGCAAAAATAAGATCAGTCATCATAATTTAACCCATGCTGTTGTGAATTAATCATGAACCTTTACCAGCTTTCAGACATTATAGGGATGAAAGGCAGCACATATCATCAGTGTTTCTTTCATCCCAAGAAGAAGAGGATCCCCTGCACATTAACCACCTCCACAGCTACTCAGTCAGATTTCTCTTTTGCTTTCCACAAGATTCTCTTTAGAGAAGACTCCAGAGCCACCAGACTTAACATCAGATATTTCAGGGTTCAACAGGAATTCAATTTTGCCTTATTTTTAATGCCATTTTTTGGGGTTGTGTGGAGTCATTGCTCTGCTGTAGTGGATGCACAGCCTCCAAGCAGATCTGCAATCAGCAGCACCGAGATGCTGTTTAACCAGCACAGTGACACTCTGCACGAGCCCAGGAAAGAAAATTCTACATAGCTGCACATTTGCCATCTAAAGTTACTCTTGGAAGTCAGAAGAATTCTATGTTCGGTCACATTTGAGGCCTTAAGACTATTTCCCTCCCAATAAAAGCATGCCAAGCAATTTTCTGCCAATATAAAATAACTGCCTAATGGTTTTGAGGAGCATGGAACGCCACAGCAGCTGTCATGCTGGAGAACATTTGAAAGAACACTAAGCTGGTTTTCATCACAGACTTAAAACAGCTGCATTACACTGATCATATTGCAGCTAAAAGCACACAATTGGGAAAAAAATATTGCAGGAGCCCCAGTTTTGAATCCCTTTTAAAAGAAGATCAGCACAAATTCAGAATTTATCACAGCTTCCATGTTTTTTTAAACATCTTACACAGTATTGCACTATGGCACAGGAACTGCATCCACCTCACCCTCACAGCTAACACTACAATTCTGAGCTAATCTGAACTGAATCCAGAACCTAAGAGCTGGAGTAAAACAACCATTTCAGTGAACTCATCCACTGATTCAACTACTGTCTCCTTAGAAGTAATACTTGAAGCAATCTGAGGAACCAAAGTATGCACAAAATTACTTAAGACTGCAATTTATTTAAGCACTGGATAATCAGAATGTTACCTTTTTGTGCCAAGACCATTTTGTTGCTCGTCGCTGGCACCTATGCAAACACCCAAGCTATTCAAGTCTCTTTAGTGGTACTTTGAGGGTCTATTTATGCACCCCAATAGTTATAGACATAAAAATCATAATTCTTGATACCTGACAGTTAATTGTTAACACTGTGTTCAATCTGTACAAGTCTTTCAACCAGTTACTCCCCAAAAAGCTGTAAATCTTACTTCTCCTCTGCTACATGGGCTTCTGCTTCCAGGAAAGCTGCAATAAAAACCTCCCCTTTGGACAGACGTGCTCACACTAATTTCATTTCTCAACGACAAAGCTCCCATGAAATTTAAACCACTTGTGTTTGCTTCCAGAGCTCTGCTCACAGCTTTCCTGTGCACGCCCATCTCCCCTGACTGCCCTTCCGCACAGGCTGCTCCTACCTGTGCAGCTGCTCCAGCCCACGCAGTTTTACAGCCCTCCTCCTCTCGCTCCTCCCCAAGGACCACACCTCTCTGGAGAAGCAGCACCTGCCCCTCCAAGTGCACACACACTTCAGAGCCACTGGCACGCTCTGCTAGGGGATCAGTAAGCCTAAAGACACAGATGGGTCAAAAGAAACCCCCAAATCCACGGAGGAATTGTTACTACAAAGGTGATATTTAGGGTTGCTACTTCATCTCCTCTGGAGCATAATGGTTTAAAATTTCTTAAATTCATAGTGTTTCTCTGTCAGCTTAAAAAAAAAAAAAAGAGGAATTATCTCAGTATCTTTGTAATACCCAGGAAATTCAGAGTCAGTGTCGGTACAACTGTGGGTCAAAATGGGAGGAAATCACAGGTTTTGGAAGGGCTATAGACCCTGACAGGCTACAAACAAAAAAAAACTAAAAAATTCTTATGCAAGTTGATGAGGAGGAGTAACTGTTTGCTGTTCAATTGCTCTCCAAATAAACACAGAGAGCCTGCAAAGCAGTTAAACCTAAACCCTTCTTTTACAAAGGCATCGGTGCGACAGAAAAATATTTTCAGTGCCACGAAATATACCACAGTGGAGTAAACTCCTCAGGTCATCCTGAGTCTGCCTTCACGGCATTCTAGAAGGCAAGGATCAGCAGAGCTCAGTGCTTAGCTGGGAGCCGACTGCCCTCCAGCAGCCACAAGAAGCCAGGTGAGGCTCCAGCTGAGCTGTGAGCCACCCACCGACCCCAGCTCCCTCCAGCAGCTCCCCGCGGCGTGACCCAGGCCCCTCTCCTCCCCCCGTGGAGTGCTGCAAGACCCACACCTCGGGAACCTGCAGCTGGTTACAAAACCTTCTCATGCCACACACTCTGCTGGATGACTCCACGGAAGGGCTGCAGGAATAAACAGCCTTTCACACAACAGATGCCACAGCCATCGCTGCGTGACTTAGCAACGACCCACCCGAGGAGACCCATCGACATAAAGCTTGAAGGTTTGGAACCAAATCCCTTCTTACAGCTCCACATAATTCCAGTTATTAAAAAATAGATCTTGAAAAATACCCAGGTTGGCTGTTTGAATGCCATTCTTCCAGCACCACATGCAATTGGAGTATTTGCTCAAATTTAATGGTTAAAGCTGCCTGCAGAAATTGCCCCTCTCTCCATCCCCTGACAAAATAGAGTCAGGTTCTTACGTTAGGCTGTTCCGAGTCATACCTGCATCAGACATTTAAAGCAGCCTACAGCAGACAGCTCTGCAGTCCAAATGATTCACCTGCTGCCTGCCTTCCTTCTTTTTTACGATTTTTTCCACCACTTTCTAGAAATTCCTTATTTTTAAATGCCTCATCTTGATAACTGAATAAACAACAGAGCATTTGATTAAATTCTAATACAGTAATACACTCAAGTCTATTTAACCATTTGGTTTAAAGGTAGTTAAA